ATTCAAAACTCCATAATTAATTTCTGTAGAAAAGATAATGTTGGTATTGGACTGTTAGTCTGTGGCCTCCCTTCTCATCTTATCTCATTTCAATCATGAGCAAACCCTGGATAAGGACATACAACAAAATTTCCAAAATACAAAGATTTATCAGCAATTTGATGCTCACATCACTAGTATTACAAATAGTAAACACTTTAAAAGTGGGTCCTGTTACATAAACATTTTGGTGTTCATTAGGTTTGTGATGGACACAGTCACTGTGACAGCTATCAAACAACAGTGCTAATGTCGTCAGCCTCGTCAGGTTTCTTGGGTTTGCTAGGAAGAGACTTGAGGTACTCCAGGTGGCGCCGGGCGTCCTCCTGGTTCTGTCGAACATAATACACCACATATGAAATGACCATGGCAAACCAACCAAACATGGTCACCAGCATAGCATAGTCTGTGGTCCTTTTGGCCAGGTTACAGAGGTCAGTATCCACTGCCATGAAAGGTCTTCCCTCATGGTCAAGAAGCTCTGAGCTCCTGCAGAGAACCCTAGCTGCAGCCTCGTGGTTGTGGGCCATTCCACTGATGGCCTGCTGGAGGGCACAGTCACAATGCCAGGGGTTATCGTCCACAATGACGCGGGCCTTGAGCCGGGCAAAGGCATCCTTGTGTACGCTAGTTATACGGTTGTGGGAGAGGTCCAGCACCTGTAAGGTCGCCTCTATGCCACTGAAGGCTGCTTCGCCTAAAGTCTCCACTGCGTTGTATGACAGATTGAGCTCCCTCAAAAGCCTAAGTCCATGGAAGGTTTGATCAGGCACAGCTCCTATTTGGTTGTGGTCCAGCCTTAGCAGGACTGTATCAACCGGGAGGCTGGGGGGGATCTCTTTGAGGCGGGACTGACTGCAGGTAACGTTGAGGCCATGGAGGTGGGGGTCGCGTTGGCAGATGCAGCCCTTTGGGCACATGCTGGCCGAGGGGAAGCACAGGGCCATGAGGACAAGGCTCTGAAGGAGCAGGCACATGGGGATGGAGCGCGACAGCCACAAGTCCAGCAAAGTCATACTGACTGGCCGTCAGCAGCATCCCGCCTGGGCCCACAACACCACCACTGGTCCCTTACACACATTGCATGGTGGCGACTGGTCCTCACTGTCTGCCCACTGGAGATACTGGAGTGTGAACTGATGTGATCATACTGGTTTCAGGCCTGAAACAAAATCAAACAGAAAGACAAGTTGAGCCATTGAGGTTATGGAATGCTCGTAACCTGCTCTTATTCTTGTTCTAATTTATTCTAAAGTATCATAGAATGGAGGTATTAAACATTATTTTGAAAATGACCCAATTCACAATACTACTGCACAAGTATTGTCAATTCACAGTATTGTTTCGACGTACATGACCAACAATCTGAAGTTGTCCGAAGACATAAACGCTATCAGGTTGAAAACAATGGAAACTGCAAACGTATTTGTCGAACACATTCAACAACAAACATATCAAAATCTTGTGGAATGTATGTGGAGCATTACAACTGAATGTTACTCTGCTATGATTTTGACAATGTGAGCTGAGAGGCATTGTTTTCCAGAATAATGTCAGAGAAAAAGACCAATTGCCTGTGGCTTTTCTTAGTGTGAATATTTTCTTACCAAAGCTCAACATCACCTTTGTTGGGGCAATGGCATCAATAACATCTGTAAAGTTAAAACTAGAATGAGCTACTAGCTCATTGGTTGAGACACAAGAAAAGGATTAAGAAAAATCCTCAGCTTAACATGGATGTTAAAATTACCAACAAGAACTTCAGTAAGGAGACGATGCTTCAGTAAGGACATTAGAAAATGTTCAGTATTTATGAAGCCTGCAGATATTTAAGACAACCTTAAATAGAGTTATTCAACTGAAGAGCTACATATTCAAGAGAAGTAACATTTCCATAAGATGGAGTTGGGAGGCGCTGACTCGATAAGCAGAGCTGCACTGTAAAATCAAGGTTGGGTTTGATAATAAAAGCAGTGAATTTAAAAGGGATTTCCTAGGGGGGGGGGGGCTGAGTTGGTTGACCTTAAGTGTTTCTGTTGTGTTGTGTTATATCTTCCTGTTTTGATTCCTCTTGTCCTTGACAGAGGGAAGATGTGGGTGATGCTGAAAGGGGAAAAACTGTTGAATTGTGAAGAAGGGACACTGAATAGGGGGTACATGCGCTATAGGTGATTTAGTCAGAGAATGAGAGGTTATACAGGTCCTCAGATGGGGATCCAGGGTCCTGCAGTAGTAGTGCAAATATTGTTCTCTAGATGCTCACTTTTGGGAGGTTTGGTTTTTCACAGCTGCCCATAGCTGTGTCCTGCTCTGCACAGGAGTTGAAGAGGATGAAAAGGCACGTCAGTCTGTTGCATAACAAATCTAATGGTCTTGGGTACTTCCTGTTATTTGTGCTGCCATATTCCAGGTAAATGGTTTACTCCTAGGCTTTGCCCCGAGAGACTGCAACAGATGACTATCTACTCTACTTGTTATCTGACGCTGAGCGCTGCCTCCTTCTTTGCAGTCTTCCATGCTTATCTATAGATCTTTTAAGGATCAATGGGGCAGGAGCCAATACCAGTGGACATTAGGCGAGAAGCGGGAAGCAAACATACAGAGATAAACAACCATTCCAACATTCATCACTCAACCACTCACATCCACTCCTAGAATCTAGTCTAGTCTGCATGAAGGAAGCCAGAGGTAACATGCCTCAGCACAGAAAGGCCCTGGTCTGCCGTCGGGTTAGAACCCAGAAGGTGACAGTGCCAACCAGTGCAAGTTATTGCCAGTCACCCATTCACACACACTCAAACAGTGCATCTATATGGGCAGCACTTTTTCTATGAGAACAGCACAGCTTACAGGGGCAACCTTCTGGTTAGAGGACGACCTGCTTTACCCCCCCCGAGCCCCACTCATTGCAGTCTTGTTGGTGTTAATTAGCAGTGTCAGATAATTCCAGTGTCAGCATGAGGTACATGGTAAATTGTTGTTGTTACAACACAGTCCATGTACACTTCGAGTACAGTGTGGTGGTTCGCAGCACTGCCATCTTCTGTGAATTCTTCTTCTGCTTATTCGTATTTTCAGTGGATTATCAGTAACATGTAAGCAGAGCTGGGAGCAAGCAGCAATGTTTCTGTACATCCATTGTTAGCCTTACTTAACATGAAGATCCAAATCAGGGCACAGTAAGTGTGGTAACTGTTAACTGATGATAGGTAAAGATGGTGGTGGTTGTATTTTGAATTTTTGAATGAAGCAAAGCTTGCTGTTTCAGTTTTTAAACTAATCTGATCACAGTGACTCCAGCTCCAGAATTTTTTTTGCATAACTTGCGTAATGGATATATCTATTGATCATCCTGTGTCATTGTTTTCTTTATCATCTGTAATTCATAGGATTCACAAACTTGACATAATTAACTATCAATAGAACATTCAATACATGCCCTTTCTCATCTTTAGAAAATTAAACACACACAAAAACAATTGTGAAAGAGTAGACTGAAGTAGCAGTAGAATTGCAACATGGAGAAATGGTTACAATGTTAAAACATATATTATATAAAGTATAAGTATACTACAGCATTGCATAAACCTTAAAATTATGCAATATGCCTGAAAGATAAACTTAAATTATCCGGACACATTTTATGACATCCTTTAACACCTGCACAGTCTTATTACTGTGCTGTTTGAGTTTTTCCTCATGATTTGATTTTACAGTTATCTGTATATACATATATCATTTTCACCTCGTGCTTAAATTCAAAACAACTTTATTTGTGCCCGGAGGGCAATTCTAAGATTAAAAGACAAAGATAAAATCATCTTCGTTGTCGGGTGTAGTCAAGTTCAATCAAACAATTTCATTTCTTTTTTGTAAAAGGTGCATCAAATCCAACTGAAGAGCCACATATTAAAAAGAAGCAACATTTCTATAAGGTGCACTCTTGCAGTGGAGGGAATCATTAAAAAAAGATGGCAACTCCACCGTCTTTCAAATGGATTTGAATGCAAGAAAAAGCGAGCTGCACTGTATAATCAAGGTTGTGCTTTAGAATATGTTTTTCCTATCAAAGTCCTGTTTATTTAAAATGCTTGATTTGACATGTTTTGGGGACAGACTACAGTTTAGGAGGACTGAATGGGTGGATGTGGGGAGTAGCCTCCCTTCCTCTCTGCTCTGATGTATCTCATGATTACAGCTCACTTTAGGTGAGGAGCTAAGATGGTTGTTTCTGTGGCTACAGACTCCATGACTATGTATAAAAAACATGGTCTCTCTGCGCAGCTTTGATTGACTTACAGCCAAATCAAACATGACATCATAAGAATGAGAATAATAATGAGCTAAATATAAATTCCAGCTTGCTAAAATACCCCGACAACAATGTTATGGATAATATTTAGAGTACATACCATCTTCATTTAAACTCACATTTGTATAAGCAAAAAACATTAAATGGTAAATAAATGTCTGTATTAATACAGCAACCAAAACACAGCAGTAGATGAAAAGTGAAGGCAGGTTAAAAATGATCCAACAGGGACCATTATGGGTCCTATCTTACGCCTGGTACAAAGCAGTGCCAAGCACAATGCAAGGTTCTTTGCTATTTTCCCACCCAAAATGCCCACATTGTTTAAATAGCACATGCCCATCAGCATCATGGTTATCTTATGAGGCGTGGTCAGATGCATTGTCAGTACATTGCTATCTGGAGGCATTGAAAAGCGATTGGGCTTTGATAAAAAAAAAAAAAAAATAATACTGGTCTGTGGTCAGTGGTGCAGTATTTAACTTTAAGTCTCAGGCTGATTGTCAAGATAGTTTATATGCACACTGCATGTTACACACAGATGGTCTGCCTGAGCAGAAGGTCAAACTGTTTCTCTTACTACCTTGCAAATCCACTATTATAATAACAACCCACCAGAAACAGAAACAGGGTTTATTGCTAAGCAGGTTTACAAATACAAGGAATTTGCTGTGGTGTGTTTGTGCAAGCATAAATATAAAAATAGGACACACAATTAAGATGGGATTCTGATGGTTGATTTTACATTACGCCCCAAAACACACCCATAATCAATTTAGAGGCTAACTATGTTCTTGGCACAGCAACCTTTTTTAAAAGAGCACTTGGCATTCCATCCAGTAGTTTGAAACATTTCAGACAGAACTGTTGCACTGACACAAACTGCCTCAAGTCAGAGGTACTCCAGCAACGCCTGCCACTTATATATTGATTATGTACCAGTCAATTCAAGTGGAGGAGAGTAATCAGGAAAGCTGCCAAGGGACATTTGAACAAGACTCAATTTAAAACTGGAAAGAAATAACATGTTTTTTTACTTGATTCTATCAATACTAGATAGACCTCAGTTAAAGATGCGAAACACTTCAACAGGGACTCCGATACATGCAGTCTAGGAAATTACTTGAATCTATAAGGTTTGGCAGCAAATCCATGACCATAGAAAGAAAACGTACGGTCATAATAAAGACTTGTCATGTGTAAGCCCTGGTTTGACATTAAACAAGTGTATATGCGTTCGGACAGACTTCTTATGTTATTACACTGGCTGTTGGCTTTCCGTCCTGTGGTTTGAATCATTTCAGTCTGAACCAAAGTGATGCACATCCCTTGGAGCCTCACAGCCACCGTGACTAACAAAATAAAAGTGCTGTCAAATGGATTTCGGAGCCTTTAGCTTGAAGGGCCTTTAAGATTATATGAATATGCTACTGTTTGAAGTCTTTACATCGCTTTCACCAAAGGCCATGTCTTAGAATAAGGCCCCAAACTCTCGAGGCATGTAGATCTATATTTAAGTTTTAAGACCTTAAGCCTTAAATTCACATAAAATACTTCGGGCTCCCCTGATGCATATAGATCCAACAACTTATGTATACTACTAAAATGTATTGTGTTTCCAGAGTCTAATCTTTAGTTAGTCCTCAGTTGCAATTGTCCAAAAACCACTAAAATACACCACACCATAGTACTGAGGTTGTTCAATATGACCAGATGCTCTCGGTTTTTGACTCAGTTACACATCTCTGGAGCCCCACATGTGGAGTCTTTTTCTGAAACTCTAATTACATATTTGTGAGCCACTGTTTAAAGATTTATGGCGTCTGTCAGAATCAAAGAGTTAGAAGCTG